AACTCTCCGACCAGGTAATAGCCTCAACAAATGGGGTTTCCAACATATTACTGACTTCCTCCCACCAGTCTCTAGCTTTTTCCCTCAAACACCCAGCAGCATACCTGACCTTCGACCCCTCAGGGAAGAAGCTCGTCAACTATGCAGACTTGATGTCTGCAATCCATCTCTTAGCCATAATGGGGTCTTTCACCTCGCTGAAGTCTGGGGCACCATATCCCCTGAAATCCTTGAAGGACAATGTCCGAGTCCTTGTCTGGCCAGATGCCATGTCACTCCTGAATGTCCAAAGGCGATCCTCCATCAGCTCAATGATACCTTCCTTGATCAACCAGAAAATCATCGGGGGTGCCTCAAGGATGCCTCTCGTAATCTCGGATGCAATGAACACTCACAATCCATCATCGACTGGCTCGGAACCCAAACCCAAACCTAAACCTTACCTAGACCTAGACCATGAACCTCCTGCTCTGTGACATATCAACACCATTCTGAAACAAAACACCAATCATTAGGGTCATACATAACCTCTAGAGGTCTCACACACACTACAAGTTCCCTAGTTCTTTCTTAGCCCTCCTTAACTCGACTACGGATCCTCTACTTTCAGTAGTACGGGTCCATACTACCTTCCACATTTATCGGTACTTTGCTAAGGATTTCCTTGACTTCACAAAGTCGCTTCTACTACTATTGATTTCTGTGCTAATCTCATCCTAGGCTTACCCTAGGGTAATATCCAACCTACTCTCTGTAATCAGCTGCATAAGAAGTCTATGTTATATCTCCCTAACTAGCGTGCGAATACCATTACATATTATTAAGACCGGATAATTCTTCGAATAAGAGATCCTACCCTACAACGGTTGGACTCAAACAAGAGTTGTGCAATAGGGCTAGACCTAACCTTCTGAAACTATTTAGCCCTCGCAATATGTAACTTAACGTATTCGTTCACTAGTTAGTAAAAAATAACTCGAACTCCTAAAAGCACAAAGTAAGCATCATTTGAACATTGAGTAACCAAATCAAGCATATCCTATACAAGCCATCATATCACTGACTAGTCAGTACTAGTATGTTGTTCGATAAGCACATACAACAGACATATAAGGCATCGTCCTAGATCCTTAGCCCTAATCTAGCATGCAGTTCCTATACATATAGTATCTATATAAGGCATCCTTCCTAGATTATTAGCCTTAATCTAGCATGAAATTCTCATAATTATATCATATATCATAACAAACATGCACGGGTATCTTGGGGAAATTTTACTTGAGCTCGGCCAATTGCACTCATCACACTCCTTGCTCTTTCTCAAAACATTTTAATTTTAATTCTTAGAATAGATTTTTTCATTGTAAAAATTTCTCAAACCCTCTATTTTAGTCCATACACCCCCGAAGGTGTATCCAAATCCATCAAACCAAGGCTCTTATACCAACTTGTAACACCCCAAGAATTAAGGCTAAAAAATCATTTTTAATTAAGTTATTATAAAACCAATCGTAGAAAAACATCCATATAATCATCCCATGTCAAAACCAGTGTATCAGTAATCAAAACATGTCATCATAAAACAATATCAGAGTGTAATCCCAAAGATCCCATGTACGGAAAACATAATGTGATGTGCTACAATCATGTCGACTTCTTTCTTCTCGAAGAAGAAGTACCCGAAACCAAAACTGTAAACCGTAAGCACGATGCTTAGTGAGTTCCCCCCATCATACCACATATCATACAATAACATACTTCCTAGCATATATGGGTGTTGGCCTACCCCTTCGGTTTCTTTCAACCGGTAACTACCTAGCATATCAGCATGCTGGCCTACCCCTTCGGTCTCTTACAACCGGTAACTGCCTAGCATATCAGGGTGCTGGCCTACCCCTTTGGTCCTTTCGACCGGTAACGAGGATTATTTCACCCCCTACTACTACCATATATTATTCTAGTACATAAACACATAAGTCTCATACTGCCTAACATATTAGGGTGTTGGCCTACCCCTTCGGTCCTTTCGATCAGTAACGGGGTCTGTCCCACCCCTCCTAACACTATCACATAATATCATAGAATACTAGCACATAAAGCATAACAGATAGTTTGCATACATATAATTAGCATAAATACAATCATATCTACTATAATCACCTACTAGTGGGCCGATATTGGTGTCTTAGACCCACTTCTACTGGAAGGTAACTCACCTCAACTGCTATAGAGTAGTTGAACTGTCCTCGGTTCTGAAATCAACCCCGCTCAAACTCCTCAAATAAGACAGAAATGAAGCCTAAGTTCAGGATCTACTAGTTTCTTCTCGAATCCCCAAGCTTATCCTTCTTTCACAAGCTTCAAAATCACAAAGAATGCACAAAAATGGCTCAAACTCTCCAAAAGTGGATTAGGGTTTTGTGGCTAGGGTTTAGGATGGTGGAGGTTGTAAATGAGGCCAACCTTTGGAGGTTAAGGTGTGTAAATAAGGTGCAAAACCCTGAAAATTAGGGTTTCATTCTGCTAGTCCTACTCGTCGAGTTCAGGCTATCAACTCATCGAGTAGGCTTCCCATCCCGCGTCCAATTTCCATCCATACTCGACGACCTTGAGGCCTCCAACTCGTCGAGTTTCCAAACAAAAATGAATAAATTATAACTTAAAATACATATCATGAACCGGACGTTACATTAACAGTAGAAGTTAATATGCCAAAATCCCCCGTGAAAGGGGTAGGGCTGAAAATTTTCTTTTTTATTTTAAACAAACGTGAGATGAGAGACGTTGTCCTTTTGACTTATAAAACCAAATTACAACAACGTAATTATTAGCATATAGTTGAAGATGGTAATGGGTCGATTTAGGTTGGGTTCGAGTTCAATCCATTTATTAATTAGGTTGAATATTTCAATCCAAGCCAACCTTTTTATTAAAATGGGTAGATATTTACAACCCAACCCAACTTTTTAGATAAATAAGTTGTCACCTGGTTACCTTATTTATGTAATTTTTAACCTAACCTATTAAATAAATGGGTTAAACATGGGTTAATCCATTTAAAATAAAAAAGTGAATAAATTAACTAAAGATTACCCCACTTAAAATAGTTCTAAACTTAAATATACTTGGAAAGTATAATAGAAGTTGAGTCTCTCTGTTCACAAATAAAAAGAAATTGTTCAAATGGATTGGGTTAAATTAAATATATACTTAAATAACTAAATTAAATAAATTAACTAAAGATTATCCCACTTAAAATACTTTCAAACTTAAATATACTTAAAATAGTTTCAAACTTATACTTTGAAAATATACTTTAAAATAGTAAAGATACGTAATTTCAAAATAATTTTGAAGAGTGACTAATGTTGTTGACGCAAAGAAAAAAAATACGAATTAGGATTTGTATTTTTTAAAAAATAAATAACAATATAACATTTTAATTTATAAATTAATACTTAGATTAATACAAGGTAATATTTAAATAATTATTAAATTAAATATATATTAAAGTAAAATGGATTGGTGGGCTGAAAACGGATTGATAATTTTTACCCAATCCAACCTATTTAATTAATGGGCTAGACGGGTTAACCCATTTAACCTAAATGGATTGAAAATCTTAACCCAACCTGTTAATTTTGGGTTGGGTTTATGGGTTGGATCGATTTTTGTCAGCTCTACATATAGGTTTGAAAAGTAAACAACAATTTATGCTTTAAGGATCGTATAATTTGTATATTATAAAACCTATAAAACTAAATTGTTGATTAGTATTTTATATATATATATATATATATATATATATATATATATATATATATATATATATATATATATATAAGTACAAAAAGCAATTTAGCTTATGGTTAAGGCCTTGGTGCCTTGAGTTGTTTCATTGTTAAACTATCTATTATACTCATTATTAACCACTATACTAGTGGTGTAACATCATCACCACTAATTATCATATCCACTACTACCACTACCATTCCACTCCACATCATTTTTTTTTTATTTCAAAAATAAAATAAAAAATGGGGTAAGTTTTGTTAATATGCGAAAATCTAGGGATTGAAACTGGAAATTTCTGAAAATTTTGATTATCTCTTCCCCTCTAAAGTGCAGAATCCGTCGCATGCAATGTTCCTCCTCTTTCCCTATTGGTCGTTGCTCTTCGCTGTGTGCACCACAATTGACCACGAACATGGAAGAACACAGAAGACCACAAAACGTCGGGGTGGTGTGCCCGTGGCCACCTAGACTAGGAAATAATCCTAAAACCTATAAATTTGTTAGAATGAGTTTCAACCCAAAATAGAACCGGGAAAAACTGAAAACCGAGAAACGGAACCTATAAGTTTGGGTTTGGGTTTGGGTTTAAAATTTTGAAAACGAAGTTTGTCGGTTTGGGTTCGATTGTAGGTCAAAACCGACTCATGCTCGCCTTTTATAGAAATGACACCTAGGACAGCTGAACCACAAGACATCTATGTATATGTTTGAATAAAATGATATTTATTACCATATTAACTAGATAATTTGGTTAAAATGTGACCTTATTTTGGGTTACACGGGTCGTGTAATGCAGACGAGCTTCTTAAAACTATATAAATGTCTAAAAATTATGAAATATATATATATATATATATATATATATATATATATATATATATATATTAAAAAATAAGTTGGTGAAAGGTGTGATGGTAGTATGCCCTCCAAAGCGAAAGGGTGTCAAATGTTGAGGGGTTGTTGATGTTGAGTAAAAAGGAATGATGGTTGTCCACCGGCACTACAAGAAAATCACTCTTTAGCGGCGACGTTATTATCGGCGATACAGACCTTTAGCGGCGACTTTAGAGAAAGTCACCGCTAAAAGCCCCTATCGCCGGTAATAGCGTCGCCGGTAAAGGCCTTTTCCCTTGTAGTGCGGCCTTGGTATTTGTTCGGTTGTTAAATATTTTCTGTGTAGATGCATAATTACTTGTGAAAAGTAACCGAGAATTTTTGCTTATTTGAACATAACAGACAAGGAGGATTTTACACAATTGGGGTTTGATCGAACATCTAGAGTGAAGATAGATGACGATAGGAGAAGATCACACAATATAATGTATGTGTTTGTGGTGGGTACATAATTCAACTCATTTTTACGAACAAGCATTTGAATTGTAAAAGAGTGATGCTACACATCTCCCTCCTTATTTTCTACATTATTAAATGAATAAACTGAAATTTCGCTTCTAGATCTTGATGCGCCAATGTCACGAATTGCTAGATACACTTGTAGCATGCTTGATGCCTCATGCCTAGGTGGATGAATACACTTTTCTACTATTTTAAGCGTTTCATATATTTCCTCATCGAATCCTTGTCCCATTAAGCATTCATCAATCAGATTGAAGTCCCTACTGCACACATGATCTGTCAGGGAGTTGAATATCCATGTAGATAGTTTCCTACATATAGCTGGTTCTCTACCAGTAACCAACTCAAGCAACAAAATACCAAAGCTAGAAACATCCTCCTTGAATAGACTAGAATCTAGAACCACAAAATTGCAAACACTCAAAGGGGTGCCACTACAATTCATCAAGATTATGGCGTTGCCAAAATTTGATATCCTGGGCTCAAAATTTTCATCTAATAAGATACATTTTGAGGTGATTCGGAGATGGGCTACGCGGAGGACATTGTTGTGATGCAGCCATGCAAGCCCTCGTGCTATCCCTACTGCAATCTTTAACCTTAAACTCCATCCCATTTTCTTAGCTTCTGCTTCTTGTCTACCATGTAGCCATTGATGGAGGCTTCCATTACACATGTACCTGTATACCAGAAATTTCTTTTCCATTTCAAAGCAAAAACCTAACAGTGGTACTAAGTTCGTGTGACGCAATCTTCCTATAATTTCTATTTCTGATAAGAACTCTTTCTCAAAGCTCTCAAACCTATGGAGCCTCTTGACTACAAGCAGCAAAGCATTTGGAAACACAGCCTTGTACATGAGTCCCATGTCTCCTTGGTCAATTACGTTTTTATTGTCAAATTCATTAGTGGCCGTTTGAATTTCCATCAAACTTAGTCTGCGGATGAACTTTTCCATGGCAGTTACCTGTGTGTTAAACGAATATTAATTACTTATGCGTATTTATCTTCCTACTTTCTTGATGGAGAGAGAGGGAGAGAGAGGACTTTACCTTCATTTCCATGCTGTTAAGTTCTTCTTCAAATAGGATTGTGGGGTTTGTTGGAATCTGGTGATGCTTTCTTCTTATTATGTTTTTGATCAAAAGATGATAGTAACTCATGGTTCTTTTACTTGGTCTTCTCCAGTATAAGAACATAAACAACATACTTAAAAATGTAGAAAGAGATATTCCAGCCGTAAACCCTGAAAAGAAATGATGATCGAAAAAATATATATCATCATGGTCTTCGTCCTTGCAGGATTTCAATGGACCTCCACAAAGTCCTTTATTGTTTTCGTAGTTTTGTCTGGTAGCATCGTCAAACATGGGTAAGTGTCCTGACAAGTTATTGTTAGCGACACTAAATTCTTTGATGCGCTTAAGTGAAGACAGTTCTGGAGGGATTTGGCCTGTTAGATTGTTATTGTCAAGCCTCAGAACATTGATGTAACTACAGTTGCCAATTGTAGGCGGAATTGGACCTGAGAGACTGTTGTTGGAGAGATCGAGAATGCTGATGAACCCTAAAAGTTGTGCAATATTAGAAGGAATGGGTCCCGAGAGGTAGTTGTTAGAAAGATCTAATCCCGTCAAGCTTTTACAGTTTCTTATGCCCATTGGAAATGGTCCTCTAAGTCCCATGTCTGATAGCTGAAGATTCAGAACCTTACTCTCATCAGGGTGCCAGCAGTCGACACCAACAAAGGCGTCGCAGATGAAACCTTCAGTATCGTTGCTAAAATTCCAGGAAGAAAGAGAACGTAAAGGGTCTTCCAGCGATTCCTTGATAGATCTTAGGCAGTTGATGTCTGATTCAACGGCATTACTTGAAGAAAAACAAGCTAGTATGAATATTATCACTCGCAAGCACAAACTAGGAATACCGTTTCTTTTCATCATTAGTCCATGATGACACAGTGAATACCTTCAAGTCATATAAGGTATAGAAAATGTGTGGTGTGGGTTAAGTCTTCTGTGGGAACCACTTCTAAGAAAAATGGGGTAATTGAAAAATGTTGTTTTAGTCCAAGTCAATGAAGTCTATAAATTAAGGGTTGGGATATTGAAGATGATGACCCCAACCGAACCCCTCAATTTGGACTTTTAAAGCCTCTGTGCTAAATGTTAATTCTAATTAGAAACTAATAAACTGAAGTTTTTTGGATTAAAAAAAAAAAGTGATAGTAGTTATATATAAATAAACAACATATATATATATATATATATATATATATATATATATATATATATATATATATATATATCTTATAAGATTATGTTTAAGCAGATAATTTTGTATCCGTTTTATAGAGAACTTTGTATTCATTAACATTTACTAGCTTTTGTATTCCTCACATGATTTCTTCTGATTGGTTGAAACTTGGATTATGGTCAAACCAAATCCTTTGATAATTCTTAATGTGTGTAATCATCTTTCCTCTTTATTTTTGTTATGTGCATGAATCTCCACATGAAATGTGGCCTTATTTTATATTAACACTTGATTCTTATTGGTTGAGTCAAATCCTGGATCCAATGAAAATAGAGAACAGTTTTAGTGTCATCTAAATATCCACAACATCATAGTTTCACTTAATATATTGATTCATTCATTTGAAATTAATGTTTTACTAACTTGTACGATAGTTGTAAAGAATCTTATGTGGATGGATCAAATTATTAAGAGGAAATATCACATATTAATCAGGAGCGAATTTTCCAAGTTTATGAGGAGAAAACTCTTTAAGCTTGATTACAGAAATAAGAACAAAGAATTGTTCAAAAAAGTCCTAAATGGAGAATGTTTTTATTAATTTCAAGACCCATAGAAAAAAAAAGAGCTTAGCTCCTAAATAAAGATATAAAAAGAATAAGAAAAAAAAACGGATATTCTCCCATTAATCACAAGTTTTAGAACATGGATTCCTAATTTTGCCTCTTGAATCAAAAGAAGATGCAACCCCTTTGATTTGTTGGTTTACTTCTGAACAAGCATCCATTACTAGGCTTCAACATCCCATCACCATACCTTCATGAACAAAAGAAAACCATAATTACAGAAAAGTAATAGGAGAAAATAGCAAAGTAAATGAATTCTTCTTCATATTTTCAATCATAATTTTGGAAGAGAGATTATTGAAATCCAAAAATAGATCATAATAAAACTTGGTCTCGAGTTATACATGTGCTATTACTTTTGAGGAGAAATACTCACAAAGTAAAGAAAAAAAAAACTCAAGTTTGTTTACACCATGTAAGAAAACATTTCGCGTAAATCTGAATCCGATAGATTAATAAATAAGACCAAAAGACCAAATATCATGACTTAGAAGAAGAAAAGAAAACAAAATCTCAAAATATTAAGCACAAGCTTGGATAAAACTTCGACAAGCATTTAGTCTCGGTTTTGTTAGAAAGACTAAAGAAGTTAATTAGTGAGATTTCCATGGCAAACTCGGCTTATGTTTAAGTGAAATACGTGATCTTTTTTCCGGACCAAGTTTTTTTCTTCTACAATAACGTTGATACTTGCTAGTTTCCGATAATTTACTAAAAGCAGATATGTTAGTCTTGGGAGCTAGCCTACTCGTTGAGGTATAAAATTCCATACATCCATGGTTTCAAAACACTAATACGTCCAAAATATTACTAGGATTCTAGATTTATTGCCCACCTTGGACAGGTTCAAGGTGCGATTTACCATTTTTAAAAGCACATATGTTTTTTTGAAATACATACCGGTTTTTATTGGCTGTGGTACAAGAGCTATTATTGTTGCATAATCCGCTGCTAATTTTGGTGCTTCCAACAAAAAGCCAAGTTCTACGTTTTCGAACATCAACAGAATGCTTCATTAAACCATCCATGGATTTACTCCGAGATACGTTGTGTTTCTTGGAGCCCAATGAACTCGGGACAAACATCTTAAGAATGTAAACTCCGGTATCAAGACTCACACTCCTTGAAATTGGCCGATTTTTCGTGCCTTTCTTCTTTCTCTTTAGATCAAGCTTCGTGTGATCAGTTATCTCTTTCAGTGTTTCCAGTTTTTTTGATTGATCTGAATCTTTCATCACTATATCTTTTAGGGACAACTCGTGAAATGATTCTGGCATCAGTTCCATGAGTTCTTTTCTTCCTTCTGTCATCACAGTTGTGGAATATGGTTGATATATGGAATCAGAAAAAACGTTTTTGGAATAAAGGGGTGCTGAAAAGCCAAAAGGGATTTTGTTCTCATAATAATTTGTTTTCGGGATGTTGCAAAATGTAAAATCTGTTGGGGTTTTTGGTGCAATGGAGTTTTGGTTGAAAGAAGGCGACATGTTAGATATGCTATGAGTTTGTGTTGAGGAGATGGCTACTTATAGGGGGGACATTATATTATTTTCGTGTATTTTAATAAAAAAATATTTGAGATTTTAAATTTATTATAATTAAATGATATTAATTCTGTTTTTCCTAATGGATGAAAAACAATAAAACACATCAAACAAATAAAAGGTTGATATTTAGGGTATGTTTGTTAAATTTTTGAAGCTGTAGTTTTGTAAAAATGTTGGAAAACTAGCTCTAAACTTTCTAAATGTGTAAAATGGCGTAGAACATGAAAAATATGTAGCTTTTGGATTAAAATAAAAAATTTAATCTTGAACCATGTGATTCTTAATTGATTATTTTTAGTTAAAGACTAAAAACTTGTACATTAATAAAAACACTTCACTTTTAATGAATCTAAATGTTCTATCAAAATGGAAACAAAAACCACATAAAAAGATCATGAGTTCTTAAATAAAGTAATTCTTGACATGCAAAAAGTACAAATACATGAATAAGTAGTTAACATGGATGCTCTAATTTAACTACTAATTAGAAGGTCCTAGATGAGATTTATATTTATTTGTCGTTCAAAAAAAATCATAGATAAAAATTAAATATAAAAAGTATTACAATTTCTGACTTCATATATACACTAGTAAAACATTGAATAACGTTCGAGTATCTTAAAAACTTATGAATCACAATCAATTTAATTTTTAAATAATAACTACTAACGAATGTGAGACGACTTAATTTTGTGAGACCGTGAGACGAAATCTTAGCCACTAATTTATTAGATAAAACATTAACATTTTTAAAATGCAAAATAATTGAAAATTTTCAAAAAAAAAATTTCTAATATTATTTTCGAAATATATATTTTCCAAAAAAAAATACCAAAAAAAATAAAAAATAGATACAAAAAAAACATTTTTTTTACATATTTTAGTAGAATATTTAGAATATTCAATATATCTAGCAAATCTAGTAGAATATTCTAAATATTCTAAAAATCATATTAGAATATGTACAGTGTAATATTCTATTAGAATATTTCACATATTTTTCAAAAACAAATGGTAATTTTTTTTATTTTTTAATTTTTTTTAGTTAAATAAAGTTCCGAAAATAATAATTAAATTTTTTTTTTTGGATTTTTACTTATATTTTGTATTTTAAAATTATTTTTAGATTTTGTCTCACCGTCTTACAAAATTAGCATGGTCGTAAATTAACCTTATATATATATATATATATATATATATATATATATATATATATATATATACTAGCAGTGTACCCGCGCAAAGCGGCGGGGCGTGTAAATTCTTTCGGTGATATGTTTCCTCTACAAAAATGTTATTTTACAAAAGAAAGTACATGTCGAAGACAAAATAATCAAACTATGGTGTTATTTGGGAGATGAAGTCATTTTTTGTTCCTGGACGGTGGGCTTTATAGCAGAGGAGGGAACAAAGAGGTATATGCGATTGGAGGGATATTTGAATCAACATGCTAAATTTAAGGATATCTAAAAGGGTTCAAAATTTGAATGAATCCGGGATTTGAGGGAACCATATCAAATTGTTGAGAAATATAAGGAGATTTGATGATAAATATTTGAATTCAAAATGTGGTTAAAATTTAATATTATTTTATTAATGGTTACTTGTACTATCAGCTTCATCATTTGGACGTCTTAAAAAAATAATATTATTATAATCAATCTATTTTTAGAAATAGTTAGATTTCTTTTATAAGATAGTAAAGATATATATATATATATATATATATATATATATATATATATATATATATATATATATATATATATATATATAACAAAACTTTCTATACTTTTAAAACAACTAAAATAAAAAGAATTATATATCATTGTTTAAAATTTATGTATATAAAATATGAGGTTAACCCAAAGGACACTCCAATATGAGTGACTTGACCCCAAGTCTTTCTCTTTCAAAGTCGTCTAAGATGAGAGACTTGACAAAGTAGAAAACGCAACTCCCTTTTTTTCCATACAAGACCCAGTCACACAGTATTGTCCATACGTCTTTTTTTGTTTTTAATAAATAAGTTTGAAATACTTTTTTAAATAATAGGATACCCAAACTATTTTTTTATGATACAAATTGTAATATGGTCACTGATTTATTAAGATTGAAAAGTTGATGTGTGTAAAGAAAGAATCGGTAGCAAGAGTTAGAGGTGCACAAACCGGGTTTTTTTTCAAACTAGTTCGGTTCCGGTTAATGAAGTCAAAACCGGTTCACTCCTAAACCGGTTCACAACCAAAATAATCCGCACATATACAAACCGGTTTGGTTTGAATTAAACCGGTTCACTACAAACCGTGAGAAATCGTCCAAACATCATAAGTTAAATTTACACTGGTTTCTAAAGCTTCAAATCCTAAGATCATTTCATTTTTTGCAAGTTTCCACATTTCAATACAATCGTGTCTTAGGGAAGTACGAATCGCATGGCAATATCGCAGTTGGAGAGTATTTTAGATGAGTGAAGTCAATCGTTTGTTGTTAAAGTGGTCAAAAGACAAGCATTCTTGAATC